ATTTATTCAAGCTGCTTGTTGGATCCACATTCATGAGGAAATGCCACATATTAGCTGTTGCTCACACACTGCCCTTCTGTTCCCCCAAAAGAAGGGCAGAGGAGGACTGAAAGGGCACAGCTTTAGTTGTCCTCTAGCTATCCACCAGTTCAGTTAACAAGCTAAGGGCTGCAATTTGCTTATGAACATCTGCACCAAAAAAAGTCAAACTGAATGCAGATCTAGTTAGTTCTGGAACAGTGATTATTTTGACATTAAGAACCTGAACACCCAAAAATTTCAAATGCAGAGGACTTAATCCAGAGATCTTGCACCCACAATATCCAGTTCATAAGTAATGTTTAAATGAGCTTTCTCTCAGTCTCCCAGAGAGCAAACAAAAAAACCTTTCCTTTTTACAGCCTCAGGATTCTTGCCTTAGTATTAGGGCAGTGCTGTTATGAGGATACAAGGCCCTGCCAGAGAAGGGTATATTAAAGCTTTTATAATCATCTGCTTTTGTGAATCAAAATTTGGGAAAAAGCAAGTGGTTGTTCAGCAAGCGGGTCAGTCAGTATTAATCCTGATTATAGCCAGCTTCCTCTTACTCTTTTAAGAGCACCTGGAATTGATTCTGCTGACCTATTCTCAAAGTGAGAAGCAAGGTTCAATTTTCCATGTCCATAAATTTTAATGAAGCTTCTAATCCACACAGTAGTGATAGTGTTTCTGTAATTTTCAGTTCTGTACACTGGTGTCTCGGTTTACAGAAAGTATTTCAGAAATACTGACAAATATTACCAAGTAATGAATTTGGTGACAACCAAAATCTGAATCTGAACTTACTTAAAATGGAAAAGTGCTGTCTGACAAAATTGAAAAGCCATCTACTCCTTATGCATACTTGTAAGATCCCCAGTATGCAGAAGTAGCTCTCATTTCCTATTCCAAGACATTTTCCTAGATGCTTTGTTAGGTACCAAAGATTTGAACACTATATTGGTAAATCAAAGAAGTAGAGAAAAGGATAAACGAAAAATGTCAGAAGCCATCTACCTAAATGACATGCTCCACCGACCCATCCAGCTGGACAGCTACAAATCCCAGGAGCCACACAAGCTCCATTATTCCGACAACCTTGGGGACAAATTGCTAGAAGAAAAGAATGGGTAAGTCATCAGGATTTATAAAACTGATATAGAAGAGTCCTGACAGAATGAAAGATCCAGGATGATACAAATCAAAATGGCAAAACACATTTTTTTCCAGGCCATATACTCAACTGGCATAACTCTAAAGGCATTTTCAGGACCATGGAAATGGAAAAAAATACTTATGTACTGTGTTAAGAATTTTGGTTTAAATGTTAACAGACATAAACTTCAATGCAAACTAATTTGACATTATTTTATCTGAGTATGTACCAATAATGTAGGTCCTTCATTTCTGCAGTAATGACATTTCCATAGTTATCAGCCTCTTTACCCTTTTAAAATTTTTTTGTTACTGCAGTTGTATTTTTAATCAATATAAATATTTTCATGAATGTAGATACCCACCTTCTTGGCATCTTGATCCCGTCCAGCCAGAAGCACAAAGGCACTTCACAACTCCATTGACAGAGATGCATTCCCCACCATTTTGACAGCCTCCTTCACAGCTTACTGTGGAAGAACAGCATATGACTTCAAATTCAGTACAGAGCAGTGTAGGACTTCAAATAATTACCTTTAAACAGCTGTTTAATAAGGTAATATGTTTAAAGGTAATTATTTGACCATCAATTACTTGTTTTATCACATCTGCAAAGACCAAAATTTAATCTATTCAGAGCAAGTCGCAGTTTTATAAGGAGTGAGTGAGGATGACGGAACCACATCTGCAAATGCCAACTCAAAATGCAGTTAAAATTAAGCATGTGCTTAAAAGCTTGTTGAGCATTTAGCCTGAGAGTACCAACAAACAAGCATGATTATCGCTATGGTACAACTCCTCCTCCCCATAACTGTGAACCAGCACTTCGTCAGCTACACCGCTGTAACTACTAATGTTCATATGCTTATTGATCTTGCCAAATCACAGCTGGTAAACCAGCAACATGTGGTCAAGGATGTTTCCTTGATACATGCTTCCTTACCTGACAGGGCCTACACATAACACAAGGAAGAAGAGAAGGGGATAGTACTGTGACAAATGAACCTCTGACTACAATTGAGTGGTGCCTTCCCACAGGCCAACTATCTAAGTCAGTCTCCGCATTCCAGAATCGTTCTACATGTCAAAGCCCTGAAGGCCTCATTAATGAAACATTATTTATGCTGGGCATATGACTGGTATCAATTGTAGTGTGCACCATCTTTGAAATATGGCATAAACACCGTTCTGTACAATCAAATGCACCCTTTCACAAGCATGAATGTACGTATATACGCCACCTCCACTGCACTGGAGAGGAACAACTATCCTTCCTTATAATGATGGACAGTTGGGATGTCTGCTTGATACTTGGTAGAAAAAAGTCCAAATCTCTGTACTACCACAAGTTTTGAGCATCATGTGAGCTAATAGATTTTTAGCGCAAATGCTGAACACGCAAGGACGTGCAAGTCAACTCCAGCACAGATAAAAAAGCTCTTTGAAGTTTGTTTGCATATTTCTTTGTCACACAGTATAAGTTAATGTATTTATATTGATTGTATTTGATCAATCATGGTGACTGGGAGAAGTGCCTGAAGACTGGAAGAAAGCAAATATCACTCCAGTCTTCAAGAAGGGCAAGGAGGACGCAGGGAACTACAGGCTGGTCAGCCTTACCTCAATCCATGGTAAGGTAATGGAACAACTGACCCTGGAAGCCATTTCCAGGCACATCAAGGACAAGAAACCATCAGGAACAGTCAGCATGGCTTCACCGTGAGACTGACCAAGCACTGGCACAGGCTGCCAAGAGATGACATGGAGTCTCCATCCTTGGAGATATTCAAAAGCTGTCTGGACACAGTCCTGGGCAACTGGCTCCAGTTGGCCCTGCTTGAGTGGGGGGGTGGGACAAGATGACCTCCAGCGGTCCCTTCCAACCTCACCCATTCTGTGATTCTGTACGATTCTGCAAAAGCACATTGCACCACACTGCAAGTTTGTACATCCAGGCTCCATATGCCACAGTACTCCACCTTAAAGGTGAGCACAAGAACACCCTTTGCCTTACAGGAATAACATGACAATGAATACAAGCAGGACTTTTACTCATACAAATCCAAGTCTAGGCTATAGTATTAGTGTAAACTGAATCTTCACTCCTCTTTTTCTATTTAAGTAGTACTTCTCAAGTTGCTTCTGATTTAGGCTCTTCTGAGAACATCAAGTTCCCTTTTCTTGTGGGGTCCCCTATCAAGACCCCACAAACCTACACTTTCAGTTGACTTTTAAGAAATTAAAAAGAAATTAAATTCCTTTTGCTGGAAAATGAAGCTGACTATGCTCCAGTTTACCTCATTGCTGTCAACACTATTATGTCTACTCAAAATGGATAGTTATATCCCAATGCATTACACAACAGTGATGTGTTATACAGATCTTCATTAGAAGACAATTCCTCATATTTTTAATTTCTCTATAATGTTAACAATTTTGATATCAAATTATTATCACTGGCAGTTGAATTCCTATTGAGTCTAGTTAACATTGCAATGCTACAGTTTAAGCTTCTACAAACTTAGGTCAACCACGTTAGGTACACTCAAGTCATGCTTTCTTCATAAAATTCCTTCACTCTCTGGGGATATCTTGCCTACTACATCTTTTTCCTCCCAAACTATTTCAAGCTTGCTCTCCCTTTTATCCCAGAACTCAAGTTATCATCAGTAGTCTGATAAATTCATAACAACATAACAATGTTTTCTTGGATTGCCTTTTCCAATCCAAGCATATATTCAGCAGGCTTCACAAAACCATAGAAATTTTTCTTTGCTACTCCTCATCTCTGCAACTTCCCATTACCTACCAACAATACAATGCCACAAGTATCTTTAGTGACTTTCCCTCAAATTACCATCTTGCAGATACTACACAAGTTTCAACTACCTAATGCAGAAATATGTATCTACACAAGTCAAGTCATCTCATTAAATTATTTAGAAAGCATCTGTTATAGAGCTAAACTGAGTGTTTGCATAACACATAAACAAGGTATTTTCCATGGGACAAAATTCTCTCAGATTCTCGCAACATGTTTCATTATATTTACTCTACCCCATTCTCCTGCAAGGATGCAGATCCTGTAGGCCATGCATTTTTTGACAGTACGGTCAGAGGTTTAAGGAATTAAGGTCATTATTTCAAAGTGCATTAGATCCTGGACTTGAGGAGTCCCAAATAAATTTTGTCTGGTTTCAAACTCCTTGTCTTTCCAAGCTGTCACTTGTTTGGGTCTTTTACTCACCTTTATGACAGTATCTACCCCCATAGCCAGGTGGACATCTGCATTTTCCAGGTCTGAGGCACTCCCCACCATTTTTGCATTTTGGATAACATGTTGCTGTAAGGCAGACAACAAAGAGAGCTTGGATAAATATTGGTGAAGCTTACCAAAATTACTACTTAAGTACATAAGAAATCCACATTATTTTAATCTCCGAGTACTCATTTTGTCTTCACATTTCCTAGGATATATTTGCCCTGCTGTCCTACATTGCTGATCACATTAGTTTCCCTGCACAGAGAGCACTCCACCATTTTAAGCTTTTAAACACTCAAAACTAAGGAAGCTTTTGGACCCTAAACAGAACAGGCAGAAGAAAGAGCCATATTGAAAAGGAACAAAGGAACACAGCCGGACTGCCAAAGAAGCTTTTGATTACTGAAGTCAAGAAATTACAGGTGAGAAAAGAAGTGATAAGAATAAATGATTTAAGAAAAAATGCTGCAACTTCAGGGGCATCTTCTGACTATTAAGATGAAATATCAGTCTTCACTCTTTACTGGATTCCTCTCCAGAAACATACATAACTCTCCAGAAAAACTACATGCTCATTTCCTCATACCTCTTCTCTAAAATGTCTTGAGAAGTCAGCACTCCCTTCTCCTTCACCCTCTTTTTTTTTTTTTTTTTTTTTCCCCTCAGCTGGCCTCTCAGAGACCTTTCTGAAAGGTACAGTGTTTGTTTAGAAATCATCTGAGATATAACTTTTATCATAGCTGTAATTATCTGTAGGGAGAAAAACATCTATGATCATTACAGATTTTGCAACTTTTTCATTGCTGACAGCTTGGACAGGTTGGATAAGGTACAAATAAAAATTTTCATTTTACAAAATTCTGGGTAAGTCCAGTCAGACTGAAAATAAATTACCTATCACACAGACCTCCTTGCTACTCCTAAATCACTCCTGAATCAGCCCTGGTGTCTGAGAAAACATTTGTTTATTCACACACAGATTTTAGAAACCCATGTGTTTCAGAGAGTCTCATCTTAATCAACTGCAGGCATGAGATGAGTTCTCTACACCACATCATTTTATCCTTTGACTGGATGGGTGAGAAGTCTGAAACACAAGGAAGAAAAGGGGAAAGAAGATTAGAGAGTAACACCACACTGATTTTGCCTTTGTGTACTAAAGCAATCTCAAGCAATCCAACTGAAGAATAGAGGATTTTCACATTAGTATCTGCAGAATGAGTATTTGCATGCACATAAAGTACACAGACATGTATGAGAGAACCATTCAGCACTCAGCTCTGCCTGTTTTACCACATGCTTTCAGTTCATTGGAGATGCCGTACAAGAGCTCTCAAGAAAAACTCTATTTCTGTGTTATCTCATGTAGCTTTCAGTTCCGTTTTCTTGATAGAACAAGTGATGAACCTTCATTAATACAAATTTTTTTCTACACTGATGACCTTATCAGAGCAAGCATTCAGTGGTTCCCGTAACAGTTCCAGACAGTTCACCCCTCTGGTTCAAAAACAGATCTGCATCTCCAGCAATCTTTCACATCTCCCCTAAACTCAGAAATGTCTAGGATCCAACAGTTGTTTGAAACAGTGCACACAGCATAGTTATTCATCCCCACCATGCAGAGCATTACCTGTACACCATTTGTCACCACCTGCTAGCCTTAGCTTCTAAATAAAACAACACTCTGTGAATGATAACAGTGCTGAATGAAATTTTCAACATCCCATTTCAGAGTTAAAAAAATAAACATGTTTTAAATGAAGGTCATCAAGACTAGAACAAATATTGTACAAATTATATCACCTCTTCACATGGGACAACACGTGAAGCAGAAGAACTCATGATATTGAGTGATTTTTAGCAATTAATAACCACAACGCTCTTAAGTTAAACTTTCAAAGAAAGGAATTCAAAATCAGGTATGATACATTAAACAGGGTTTAAACTAAAACTCTTCTCCCCAGTGTTTACTTTTGCATATTGGGCATAATTTTCAAAAATACTTTATCTCCCCTTGGAAACCAACAGGAACAGACTTCAGTTCACTCCAGCTTTATGCCTCCTACCATAGAAATGGGATGTACAAATGACTCTCTGGGTCAGGTAACATGTAGGAAGTAAATTCCAGTATTTTTACAAGCACAACATATTCTAAATAAACAGAAAATAACTTACTTTCTATGCACTTTTTTGATCTTTTCATTAGTACTACTCTCACTAATTGCACCCAGAAATACCAGTCTAATGTTGCTGAGGCTCGGAAAGCCATCAAGCATCATTCCTTACTCGGGCAAGTATTTAAACATCCACAGTGAAACCGATAAAAGGAAGCCGATGCAGAAGGCTGTCCTCTAACCGGAGGTTTACCCGTTGTTCCAGTGGTAAAACGCTATCTACTTGACAGCACCGCCTTTTCCAGCGGCTGGGTCGACTCACCCACACGCGTGTCTTCACAAAGGAGCTGGCTCTCTCCTGTGCTCCACCAGTTTGCTATCACTGCCTCACCTCACCAGAAACCGGCTGTCTTTACCCCTCTTCTCCCACCGCACCTTACCTACGTCCTCCCCGCCATCTAACCGCCAACCTCTCACACCAGACCCAAGCCCCACCCTTCACACCTTCCCAGAGGGATTACCTGCGGGAAGGCTGACAGCTCACAGAGCTAACGCGGCCCCTTGTGCCAGCCCTGGGCAGACGCGTTCCCAAGGGACCACCACCACCTAAGAGAGCCCCACAGCCCCGGGCAGGCGAGGCACTGCCGGGC